AGAATGAGATTTTTTTTCAAAAGTGGAGAACTAAATCAACAAATGTTCAACAAATTGTGATTGAGCAGCTTCTATATTTTGCTGTTTGTGCTGGGAATCTAGAGATGAATAAACTAAGTTATGGGTTTTAGCAATCATTTCTGACCCAGTAAATCTAGTATTCTTGGCTTTTCTTAACTGGGTGTTACCTTTATTTGGTGGTCTATGTTTAAGCCACTGAAAAAATTAAAATGTGCTTTTGACATATAGTTATTGAATTTCAATATAATGATATATAATATATTAACATACTATATATACTATATACAACGTGGGGTCACATGTATTTTTATTATATATATATATATATATATATATATATATACTCAGTGTATAATGTCACATATATTTAAATGTATAATGTGAAATTATAAACCTTTATGTATAATTATATAGCACATATATAATTATATAATTTACAATTATAAAAAACTACTTTGAAGATATAAAGTGTATATAACTCAACAATACAGGTATATATAGTATATGTAATAGTATCTTTATTACAATTATGCCTTTTATTCTTTTGAAAATGTACTATGCAGTTTAAAGGCAGAAAAAGGCAGGTAAAAGTTACTATGAAAATGCAATCTAGAAAAATTCATAAAGTTTATCAAATAGACATTCCTACTCTCATTAAGAGTAGATCTGGAGTCTTTACAATAACGTGAGAACTGGACTGGAATCCTGCTTAGTTTTTTACTACTTCAGAATCTCTGGGTATATTACCCAGCATTTCTGAACTCTAACACCTTGTCTGTGACTATTTCACAGGTGTACCAAAGAGGTTAAATAGGCTAATATCTGTGAAAGTATGATGTTTGTGCCATGGTAAACTCAAATACCACCATGCCTGCCTGACAGCCTGCCTTCCTCTTTAGGTGGAGATTAGCACTGAATTCCTCTGTAGCTAGGAGTTACTGAGCTGGGTAACCTTGCTGATGGAGAGTAGCTGTGCTAACAGAGGTCATAGGACCACTTCTACAAGCTTTAGATAGAGACATCTAGGCTGTGCTCTAACCCCATGTTTAGATGAAAGACTACGGCACTGTCCCAAACTCGGCCCATTCTGAGTCACAGTGAGATGGACCATGTGGTCCACTGGCCACACCAAAGTGACTAGGCAGATGACATGGAAGCTCCAGTGAGGATGACCCCCATCCCTGGACTCACAACCTTAAAAGCATGGCTTTCCTTCAGAATGGGGTAAGAACACTGCTCTCAGAGGGAGTAGGTTTGCATCCTTTCCTAATTATTGTAAACCCAAATATCGAGTTCAGTCACCTAAGTATTGTAATCCTCTTTTTAGTTTCCCTCACAGTCCACAAGGTTATATTTATAATCCCATTGAGACTTCATTGGAATCCTAGTAAGTTAATTCCAATCTACCACTACCAATGCAACCCATGGCGAGAATAAAAACACCAAGACCTGTTCCAAGTTAAGGGCAGCCAAGCCGTCCTAAATCCAATCCTTGTGAGGACTTGCAGACAAAGGCCTCAATCTTAGGCCTCTCCCAGCATTTATTATCTTGTGAAGAAAGGGGGTGGCTCAGGGATGAATGATAGTGAGGATGTCGGGGCTTACTGAGTAACTTGAGCTAGCTGACCACGTGCAAGAATGGCATCTCTGTAATTTGCAGAGATAAAGATATGCAGAAGGATCAATTTACATAACCCAATTAAGGTAGCAGTGGAAATGTTTTGGGGGGCTATCAGTTCCATTTCTGATATGCAAACTCTTGTGCCCTAGGGAGCCACCCAGTTGACATTCCTGGAGCTATTTGCTCTAACATCTCAAGGAGCTGAATTATGGAGAGCACCATGTGAGGAAACAGGACTGTCTGATGGCTATAGATTCTGCACATTAGCACTTTGGCCAGCCATATTTGCAATGCTCAGAGTCAATTGAAGAGAGAAGGAAATACCCTAGCAAGCCTTTTACATATCACTATAAGGAAATGAGTCTCCAAGTAATCAAAGTCACAGCAATTGTTTTGGATTCAAAGGGAGTCACTAGAGTTGTCTCCCACACTAATGTCTGACATGATCCAGTATTTTAGATCTGCTACCTCCTCACATGAAAGGTGAGTCTCTGCTTAAGGTGCTCGAAAAATATCCGCCAAACAGCACAGATAAAATCACCCTCATGAGCTTGACTTAAGTTACACACATTGGGATTCGTCTCATTCACTTTGAAAAACATCAATGATAAAACTATTGTGTCCATTTAAATTTTATCATGATTTATGTATTTAGTCATTTGCATTCTAGCATATTTCCTTTTCTTTCCACAATCATAGTAGCTAACACTTATTAAGTACTGTGTAAGGCAATTTTTTGTGTTACATTTAATAAGTGGCTTAATTCTCACCACAATCCTATGAGCATGGGGTAAGTATTACCTTTAGCCCATTTTGTAGAAGAGAAAAAAGAGGGTTGCACAGTTAACTAATCCTGTAGACCACCCAGCCAGTATGGAAAGTCAACCTATAATATGGGCCTATCATTCAGGAGGCCTCAGAATGAGGACAAAAATCTTCTAGACCATATTTCCAGTGACTGAAACTATTCCCACTTGAAAAATTCTGTAGTTGTTATTATTTTAGTTTCCATAGCATTACAAGTAGTTTTGGGAGCAACATGCCTGTAAAAAACTATTTACGAACCCTCCCCATGATACTACATACCTGCTAATGTTTAGATCTACATTGTTCCCCAAAAGTCTCTTGTGTTTGGAGGTGGGGGCTTATGAAAGGTGCCTAGATAGAAGGGCTGTTATACTCAGTGCCTGAATCTATTGATGTGTTTGTAGCTGAATGTGTTATTAGGAGGTGTGGCCTGGTTGGAGGGGGTAGCTCGCTGGGTCACCTTTGGAGGCTGCATCTCTCTCCCAGGCTCCTCCCCCTGTTCCCGAAGGCCATGAAATGAGCAGGTTTCGTCTACCGTGCTGTTCCTCCATGATGCTTCTGCCTTGGAGCCAGCTGCGCATGGACTGAAAATCTGCTGAGCCGTGAGCCAAAATAAACTTCTCTAACGTGTGGGTGTTGGTTAATTTGCCTTAGCGCTGGGAAAGTGGCTAACACAGTACTTGAGTTCTGGCAATTGTCTGTGTTGAGCATGTGGAATCCTTCCTCCTCTTTTCTTCACTTTTGTTCTATGGACTGTGCAATTTCAACGTTTCATGCATGTCACGTTTATCCAGCTGACTAATTTTTACTGTTTTGTATGTTATACTAGGATATAAATGTAGGTAGAAGTCATTATATGAGTTTGTATTTAGAAATCTGATTTATGTACAAAATATAAACAGCAACAGAGCCATGTAAATAGTGGAGGTTCAATACTTTTTGTGATTTTCCTTTGTAAGCCATATTTTCCCCATGTCATGCTCTCTAAATATCAGGATTTCTTAAGCCCTATCTTGGAGTCTTCCAGAGTTTCCTGTCGAAATCTCCTTGGTCTGCCTCCCTCTACACACTCTTCTGGGTAAGATCTCTTGCAAATGAACTCACTGTGTGGATATTCTTCCCTCTTGACGAGGGTCCCATGCCTGCAACTTCAAAAGACATATTCCATATTTCCTCTTTCTCTCCTAAACTCAACCCCAAGCTAACAGCTTCATCTGACATTCTCACTGGACCATTGGATCAACCCAAGATTTTATCCCTGATTTTTATCTCCAAAGACCCTTCATTTAATGTCCAAGCAGATCCTAAATCCTCTTCATTACTTTTCTCCATGTTTCTTGCAAATGTCCCTTTATTTCCTGCCATCATTATCATAATTACAGTTCTTTGCAATTTCTGCTAGTCTAGCAGTTCTTAATAGTCTTGTGGTGACTCAGAAGTGGTTTGATGTGGGTCATGGGTCATTGTTTTTCAAACAAATTGAGTGTTGCAATGATTTTCTTAAAATTGGAGTGGACTCAAGGTTGTGTGTGTAATGTGCAAGGCAGTAAAAATGGAATGGCACGTGGAGGGGAGAGTGGGTGAGAGCTGGTCGTGTGAGTCCTGGACATAGAAATGGAGCCGGTACCTAAGCTTGCAGTCAAGGATAGGGTTGTTTGGAAGAGAAAACAAACAAAATTTTTAAAAGTTGAGAAAAAATAAAGGGGAGAGAAAGGTTTTTAGATGCATGGCTAGATTAGGGCTGGGAACTAGGAAAAGCAGACCATTCTTTTATTGCTTTGTGTACACCTGTCAGAAATGGCTTAACTGGGAATTTCCTGAGTTCTTAGTGATGAGAAGTGAAGAATTTGTAATGTAGTAAGGTAGGGAACATTGTACACAGAGGAGAAAAGATAGATGCATCATTTGGGTCACCTGGCTTCAGTGACCCAGCTTCAGCAGGGTCCCAAAAATGGGAGGTTGGAACAGCCTGTGACACAGGAATGCTAAGCTCCCTGTAACTTCAGGAGATGTGTCAAGTTGAGCTGCATAACCTAAGCCTATTGTGACAGTGAGGCTGCTGGTGATAGTTAACCTTTCTCGGACATTTGCTGGGTAGTAGGCACAGCCCAGAATGCTCTGCATGGACGGCATCACCAGTGGTCTTGCTTTGCCGAGGCACTGCTGGCTGGATTTTGTCTTAGACTGCATTCCCATGGGTGAGTGGCAACATGAATCCAAAAGCCAGACAGGCCTGAATATGAAGTCTGGCTTTATTATTGCCTAGCTGCATGACCAGGCAGTTAATGCTCATGACACTTGTTTATTTTAATAGAGATCATTGTACCCACCCTTTAAGATTTTGTGGAAATCATGGAGATACTATACGGCATAGTATAAATTTCCAGTGTTTCAAGAACCTATATTCTCCTTGTGTTCCTGGACTACATTTCTCAGCTAGTCTTGCTGTCAGGTTGTAGTCCTGTGAGAACAAAGCCTGTCCCATGGGGTGGACCGTGAGCGATGTGCTATCTCAGTGCTCTGTTTTCTCTGTCTCCCTTCCAGTTTTGGTTCTAAACTTGATCGAATGAAGGTGACAAAGTTGTGCTGTCCTGGGATTCTGAATAAAGTGTTGAGGAACTCCATCCTGGACTACTAGATGAGAAAGAAATACCTTTAGGTCCTGACCTTTTGGAGTTTATCATTATCATCGATCATGCTCCACTATCTAAAGTACAGAGTCTAACAGCTTTCATGGTTCTGGAGTTTGCTCAACAAATGCTCCCCTACAGAAGCAGGGTAAGTTTTGCACCTGGTGAAATGTGAGCACATCCAGGAGTGTTAAGAACATTCTTATAATCTGCTTAATTAGGAGTCATACAGGAATGCTGTTTGGCCAAAGAAAATAAACAATTTTTAAACAAATTTCTAGTCCCCAGTTGGTCTCATTCAGCCAGAGACTCTGTTTCCTGGTGACATGTTACTCACTGTCTGTGATGACATTTCCTGACTGCTTGTGGCGAGCACACCAGGTGATTAGTGATTAGTAGATTGCGGGCTCTTGGCTTCTTTTCTCCCTTTTCGATTATTTCATGAAAAAGAAAAAACAAAATAAAGCAAAATAAAAAAATTAAGCAAAATCTGCTGTCTGCCAGAAAAAACAGTTTAACCATGGGACTGCAGAGCACAATAGCATGCATGTCCTGTGGAGAGGACAAGTTAAGAAGGTTGAGCCTTCTGTTCCCTAAAGTCTTGAGATGCAGAGCTGCATGAGGGACCTTCATGTCCTGAATGTGCAGGAGAAGGCCTTTCATCCCTGGTCAGCCATTGGAGCTGTCTGATGTCATCTTCCTCTGTAGGGAGTTGCTGAGATCCAGTAGCCCTGACCACACTGTCTCTTCAGCCCTCTGTAGTTGGCCAGGCTGTCAACGATCGTGTGAATAATGCATGCCGTGCATCAGGAGAAAAGCAGAGTGCCATCATGGGGCTCACAATTGTTTTAGAGCCTCGCTGGAGTCCAGAGACTCAGGTTCTGGTCCTGACTCCGCCACTAATTAACTGCTATCTTTGAGTTAAATCAGTTACTTTCACTGGGCATTTACTCCTCAATTATCAAACAACACTATTGACCCAAATAGTCTCCAGGGTGCTTTCTAGCCCCAAAATTCTGTGGTTTTAATTACTCTCTGATTCTGTTATTAAAAGACCGCCAGCTACATCATGAGTAGCCCTCTTCCACAGCCTGTCTTTGTTTTTTTTTTTTTTTTTTTTTTTTTTTTTTTTTTTTTTTATTTAAGAGGAAAAAGAGAAAAACACAAAACAAACCAAAGCGGCGTAAGGGTACACGCAATACAGAACTACAAAACAAAACAAAACAAAACAAAACAAAAAACCATAACAGTAAGAAATTACCTGCTAGTAGATTACACACTATTTTCTTGAAAATAGTTCCTCAAATCACAGTATCAAAGAACACAAGGTGGACATTCAAACAGGGAGACTGCAAACAGCTGTGTTCAATGTTCCAAAAACATTGATAAAGTCAGCTATTTAACACCCCCAAACACACTTGCTGTTATATCCGTTAGAGCTCCTTTTCTTTTTTTTTTTCCCTCTCTTTTTTACAACAAAATTTACACATCTTGGATTTTATTACTCCTTAGTGCTTATTACTTTCTTTGGGGGGGGGGGAGAATACAGTCAAATATGGCAAAACAAAGCTGTCAGTCAATACCAAGGATAGACATAGCACATGGTGTAGAACAGAGTACAAGTTTATCAACAATGGTTATCAACGTTGTCCCTTGTTTCCTTAAAAAGAATTGTCTATCTTATTAGATATTATAAAGTTGGACAAAACAGTAGAGAACAAGACCAATAAAACTTAGGCATTGTAAACATTACAGGACTTCCAAAGAAGACAATAGTCAAACCAGAATGGGTATCTTAGTGAATCTTATTGTCTTCAAAGTAGTTGCCTATGTCTTCAAACTTGATACTATCATATAGAATGGAACAGAGTCTAATCAGTCAAAACAAGATCGTGGGAGTACTATAGGACTTCAAAACAAGTTAATAGGAAATCGAAAAGAGTTACTATTTATATATCCTAATTTTTTTGAATTTTTTCTTTAATTAAGACAAACATAAGAAATGACTAAATAATGGTGCAAGGGCCTGTTGTCTTCCCAAGGCACTGCAGCAACAGGTGGCCATAGGGCCCTTGTTTTGGTTCTTGGACAAAGCAAGAAAGACTCTGGCCTTAGCCATTAGGATCTTGAAGCCCACATATGTTTTTCTGTCATCTTAAAGAGGGCTGTGCTGGTAACTTCTGTAAGCCAATGTTGATTTCCTCCACGCTCCACATATATCCAGAGTCTCTTTATCAAAGAAACAAGGAGTGTATATATGTATGTATGTATGTATGTGTGTGTGTGTGTGTGTGTGAGAGAGAGAGAGAGAGAGAGAGAGAGAGAGAGAGAGAGACATTGCTTTTACCCCACAGCACCCCAAAACCTTTTTAATCATTCTCTTGGTTTTATTGAACCTTTTTGCAATCCGTGCCACACCTATGACATAACCCTCCTTCCCCACTGACTCTCCTCCTCCTTCCAGCCTGTTTTCACTGTGTAATTCATTATTACTCCATCTTTTATGCCCCTCCATCTTCCACCTCATTAACTCTTATTCTTGGCATGAAAGTGTTTCCTTCTGAGCCACAGTGAAGAACAAGGGCTCACATTTGACCACTTCTCAAGGGTGATTACATATCCTGAGCTTGGTACCCTGTGGATGGGAGCTGAATGACAGGTGATAACTGCAGGCTGGAAGTCCACAGTGCTGAGTACAGGAAACATAAACTTTTCCTTCATGCTTGAGCAGTAGGGCAGGAGGGAAACCCCATTCCAATATTAAAGCTTCACCATAGGGTTATTTCTCAGGGAGCCTTCCCTAACCTCCAGGATAAGGACATTTCCCCTCCTCTGTCTCCCTAGCACACTGCTTGTGGCTTTGCCTAGTATTTCACTACAGTTAGACTGCAGCAAGCCATGCTAGCTCCCTCTGTAGGCCCTAACTGCCTGACTGCAGCTGTCCACACACCCTTCGTGGTGCTGGGTCCTTGGGTCACATCTGGCAGCTTTTCCATTTTTAAAGAGTTGGAGGGAACATACGTTAACAGAGCTTTTGTATGTTCTGCACCGAATCTCAAATTCTCACACAGGCTACTTCTTCAGACGTATTCAAGAGAACATAGTTTTAACTATGCCTTCAAAAAGTTTCTACTGCAATAGCAAAGCACCTGTTCATCCTGCAATGTACAGTGATCAGCAAATATTTAAGTCTTCCTATAATCTTCCTTGAACACAGTGAATATTCAGTGAGTGAGAGTGGATACGCTGTATGAAAAAGGCAGAAATTGTTGCCTCATTTGTCAGAGAAAAAGGATCAGAATAGAAAGTGTAGGTGATTCACCCCAGACCACACAGCAAGATGAGGAGAGAACTCTGTGTTGGTGTCTGGTGACTACCAGCATCATGAATCTCATCTGATTTTCAGCTATGGATACCCATTATATGACTGATTATCCAAGATATATTTTGTTTCTCTACTTTTCCCCCTAAACATATAAGCACTGAGGGGTGGGAGGAATATTTTCCAACCAAATGCCTTTTTGGTAGAAATCTTAGGACCAATTTATTACATTAAATTCTGATTTAGATTTCAGAATTCATTTGAATATGTTAGTTTTACAATTTACATATTTAATTATGTTTTTTCTCTGTCACCAACCACAAGCAATTTTCCCCCTTTTAGGATCATTGTTTCTTTAAATGTAAGACTTAAGACACAGGAATTACCATAGCAACTTGCTTTCCAATTAGACCGCAATTGCTGACAATCAGTATGATTAGACAAGGTCAGTGGCTGTGTGAGCCTCACAATATTTAAAGAAAGCTGCAGAGGCTCAGGGACAACCAGAAAATGGGAAAATGATTGGAAATCTCTCCCCACAGTTGAGTGTAATTCCTTTATTACTCTCTGCCTGGATAGCCCAAAGATAAGTCTGTCAGTAGCAACAGTTTATAACCTGCCAAAGAGCGCCTGGGAACGGATGGGGAAAGATGTTCCACTGGAGTAGGCTTTTCTTTCTTTCAACCTCTGAATGCTGTGCATAAGTAAAGAGAGAAAAGCACCAATTTGAAAATGAGAATAAATAGCTGATGGGGGAGTAAATGAAAAGGCAAACACAGGAGAGCTGTTTTCAGCCTGGATACAGAAGAAGGGTACTTGAAAGGGATGGTGACCGCCAGACTTGGTGGCTGTGAGGTCCTGTGCAAGCTGGGGCTTTGGACGCCATCCCTTGCCACACCTTCCCCAATTCCAGGTGGGGAAAACTCACCTGTTGAACCTGTGGTAAACTTGCCAAATCCCTTTCCTCTCACCAAGAGTCTCTGTGATCATTAAGACACCATTAGTGTAAGGTAAGTAGTGTAGAAGACAATAGATGGAATCTAGTTTAGATTTTCCATTTACTTATTGGTAGTTTGGCCTGAGACAAGAGCCTTTCTCCAAATCTCATGTGCAAAGTGAATTAAAAACTCTATCTTATCTACTCGTGTGGTAAAAAATAAATGATGCTTGTGAAAGTGTTTGGTGACCTCCAAAGCACTCAACACATTTTTTTGATGATTATTACCGTTGTTATTGCTGTAATCCATTCCATCTCTGTGAGGAAAATGTTCTAAGACCTCCAATGGAGGTCTGAAGCTGTGGATGGCCCCAAACCTTACATATACTGTTGTTCTTCCTATACACATGCACCGAGAATAGAGTTTAATTTATAAATTAGATAGAATAAGAAACTAATGACAATGATTAATAATAAAATAGAATAATTAAAATAATATACTATAGTAATGCTTATGTAATGCTTTCTCTCCCTCTTGCTTTCTATCTCTCTTTTTTTCTCTGACAGTAGTTCATCTATAACCAAATAACTAATGGGTTGGTAATGTATACAGGGTGGATGCACTGACAGAGGGTTGGTTCATATCTTTGGAGGGACTGAGAAAGACCATATAAGATTTTATCATGCTACCCAGGATGACATGCAGTTTGAAACTTATGAATAATTTGTATGGGGAATTTTCCTCTAATATTCTCAGACCTCAGTAGATTTCAGCAATTGAAACCAAAGAAAATGAAACTACAGATAATTGGGGTGAGGGTGAACCCCATTATCCTTTGTGAAACCCCCATTCCCTGCTTTATTCTGCACTTCTTTTCCTTCTTTCCTC